TGTAATTGTTAATATTTAATTAATCATACGTTAATAATATTTCTTACTTTGCGTGTGATAAAAGAGCCAAAGCTAAACGAGCTTTCAAATAAAGCCTAAGATAGAAAAGTTTTACTTATAGTTTTACTTAAATATATAAGGGCACATGCATATATAAAAGTTTTACTTATAGGTTTTTTTAATCAATCACAAGCCGTTATAGCTTATAATATGCCAAATGATGTAGATAGCGAAAAAAAATAGGGTGACGTTATCATGGCTTACTATACAAGATGAGAAATAGAAATTTCATAAAAGAGGTATTTAGTTGTTCTAGATGAAAATCACATGAATTTGAGTAAATTACTTTTAGAATAGCCTAAAGAGGAGACATAAAGAGATATGTTGTTTTGGACTTACATAACAGATGTAAAACATATTGTCTTGAGATTTTATCTAATGTTTGGAATCCTCAAAATAGTGGAGGAATGGAAAACCCCTATAGATACAACCCAAAGGGCTTTATATATGGAAATATTCTTTTCAGGATATATAAGTCATCGCCTCACCTAACTTATTCAACCAATTTAAGGAAAGAAGGTCATGAACAACAACATGATCTAGAAGGATGAGATGGAGATGTGCCATAAGAAGGGGATACCACGAGATATTTTGTAGCATTTCGACCTCTTCTTTTGTGTCAACAAGTGTGCAAGTGGACCATTCTGTTCTCATACTTTCAATCGTTGCCCATCAGTATATTGTGTTTTTTTCCTAATTAATGCCTTTTTAACTAGGTGTGATGTTAAAAATTTTCGCCTCTAGAATCGAACTAATGTATTTTTATTAGTCATCTTCACGATTATTATAGTGAACTATATATCTACACGATTATAGATATAATATGAAATATTTTGATAAAACCTAGCAAATAAAGTAGAACAAGGGATCTAAGCAATGCAATAGAACTTTTCTTAAGAATTCATGACAATAATCCGGTAGTTGAAAAGAACATGGCAAATATTTTTATAAATATCATAAACTTTTAATAGGCTTTAAGTGGAATTAAGGAGCCAAACATAAGGCTCAAGTCCGAATTGCCATAGACCTAACTCTTCCCCTGCTTCTATCCTCTCTCAGGTGTCATGGAGCCATGCATCATGATCGGGAAGAAAGCAAGAGAAAGGAAATGGAAAAATATGATAGAGATTGAATAGCTCATGAGTGTTAGTTAATAAGCGAACATGAGGGATAAGAGAAGATGGGATGAATATGCTTTGAATAAGATATAAACCATGGCTTATAATTTTTAAGAAAATTAACGAGAAAAACTATATAATTATAAATAATTCCAAAAGGAGATATATGCTTGTTTAATTTGATGAAACTATGTTTATTTAAGTTATTAATCAAGAAGATAATCCTATGAGTTGAAGTGTTTTTACTCAAATTCATTCACTTCTCTTTTAGGTGAAAGTACACACTTCCAACAAAGATCCGCAATATTTTTGAAGTCATAATTTAATATTTTCCTACTAAAATATGAACCCAAATTTTTGGTCCAATTAACTCCATTTCATTCCAAGTATGAACCCTAAGTAGAACTATGTGATTTTCAGTTGTAAGTCATCATAAAAAAAGTATTTAGACTTGAGAGTAGGTAGGGAAGAATTCAAGCGAAGAGGCGCCGAAAGGTAAAGCTAGGGAAGGATTGTAGCATGACATGCATAGAACATCCAATCTCATAGTTACTCGCCACATATAGCTCGCTGTTGTATGCATATGTGTTGGTAAACTATTGATGACCAGAAACCTATATTGTAAAGTTTTCCAGTCATCGACACAAACTTATATATATGTTCAAGCTTTCGTTGGAATATAGTTAGTAGAAGAATACTTCCAAGTTGTGCCACATGTTGAGAGTGATGCAAGCTGGCATGCATATCTTTTTCTTGGTCGAACCCGTTTGGTTCCTCCACCTAGATGGGCTCCACACACTCACACACACACACACACACACACACACACACACACACACACACACACACACACACACACATATATATATATATATATATATATATATATATATATATATATATATATATATATATATATATATATATATATATATATATCTATCTATTAGACTAGTCACAAGTAGCTATATAGATATTTTTGGAAAGTTACAAATTAAATGATCATGCGTGTTAACGAATTGTCATGGCTTGCGTAGGTGTTTTTATCGGAATTAGTAGCACGATTAGTCTATGTGTTACCTATAGCTTAAACAAGTTGTGCAACACGCTGATGAGGATAATGCATGCAGCATGAGACGTATCTTTTTCGTGGATGTTAGGTGTCCCAGTCCCAAGATTTAGATCAGCTGGGCTCCACGAGTCTTGTTGTAGATATCATCCTAGTGTCATGAGAGATGTTGGTAAACCAATAAGAGAAGTGCCGTTTATCAAAGTTAATTTTTAAGGGGTGTATATCTAAAAATATGGCGACAGATTTTTAGGTAGAAATATGTCAAATGTAATTATAGTATAAATCTAGTGTAATTGTAAATGCAATTAGTATAATTACATATGTAATTTAGGGACTTACATTATAACACTAAAATTACATATGTAATTTAGAGACTTACAACGTAAATACATGTTGATTATTTTTTCATAAAAAATATGGCGACACATTCACAGCAAATCTTGTTTTAAAAATCAGCAAGTTGTCAATAAATTAAACTTCCATGGTGAAAAAAAACCCATTATATTTAGATTTACAATCTTTTGTTTCTGTTTCCTTTTACTCCCTCCGTTCTCTCATGTATAACATGACGTCGAATAAAAAAAGAGGAAGTATATCCTAGATTAATTTATAGATGTGCATTTAGTTTTGTGCTTATCTTAAATACATTTTTTTTTCAGGCAGGTATTGACAACAAAGTTTAATTTTTCTTATTTTAATTTATAACAATAGTTGTTTAACTCTGAAGAAATAACTGAAATTTATGTTGTTCAGATGTTGGCCAATTATTGGAAAAGTAATTGATAGAGAAGAAAAGTAAATCACACTTGATAAATAGATGATCTGTTTTGAAAATGATTTACCAGCAAGTTAGTTACTAAGCTAGCACTCCTATTTGATAAACCAGCAAGTTGTGCCAGGAAGATAACTACATGTTGACACGGCATTGCTACCAAACTCCTCATATGTCATCATCATCATATATACACATCATCCTGCTAGCTGTTTACTTTGATGGTTCAAAACTATGGCTTTCTTGATAAAGATATTTTCACAAATTGTTTGTCCTCTACTGTTCACAGAAATTTACCAAAAAGGGAAACTGGGCTAGATCCGTGGTTAATTACTAAAACGGGTAAGGGTGAGAGGTCAGTGGCGGAGCCAGGATAAAATTATAGTGAGGCTCCTCAGCCTTTTAGGCCTTCTAACCATCTCAGACAAAGTCTATTTTAGCCCCCTTGTAATAGACATGGATTTAAATTTTAGGGGGGTCTTAATGGGGGCTCTAATAATTTATTAGGGGGTGGGGGGGGGGGTCTAAAGACCCCCCCAACCCCCACGCTGCCTCTGCCACTGTGAGAGGTCCCTAGCTAGCTCTTGCTCACATTAATCTCTCATTTCAACCATGCAAAACACTGAAGAAGAGAACAAAATGAAGGGTATACTCTCGCTCTCAATAATAACTATGAAACTAAAATTACCAAAATTGTATATTTACTATTTTAGAAGAAGGGTAGGTAATGAAAGTAAAACAAAACACAATTTGGAGCTCCTTACATAGCGGTACTAGTGATGCCAATACCATATATAGTGATTTGGTCGAAATATATGTTAGTTTATGGAGATGAACGAATAGCGTGTGACGATGGATATATATATTCTAGCTTCCTATCAGCATAAATTAATGTAGAGCGAAGAGAGCTACCTGAATAGAACTCCGATAAGAGATTGGGAATAATAACTTGTATAGTCACCCTAGTTGTGATCAATGGATTAGAATGATAACAAGAAGTACATATATATTTACCGATTTCTAAGTCGATGGCTATGGAACATGGCCGCAAGATGGTATCCTTATGAGATGAAATGACTTTCCCTTTTGATCCACCATACAAACAATATATACTTTCATGAAGATTGTTTCTCACATGTGGATAAGCTAACAATTAAGGGAGGTAAATTATTGATGCACAAAGCAGGCTGACGTATGCGAGGAGCCTATGGGGGTTAGAGAACAATAATATGGGAGAACAGTGGCGAATCCACTATTGGGGCTTTGTTGCTCAAGCCCCACTCCTCCAACCACTGCATGCCTCTAATTAGCTATTAGTGAGTCTAATTAGCAGTTAGTGTAAACTGACCATACAACAATGATACCAGGAAGCTAGCTGAAGCGCTGGGTGCATACCTATTTGTTAATTGATTTGTGTGGATATATTATTCTATATAGATGCAAATTAAAATGTCGAAAGCAATGTATTTTCTTTTGATTGTATGTGTATTAGGTTTCATCGGAAAATATTGAGTTGATATATCTCTATTTTATTTAGTCATATTGTTACACTTGTGCATTAATTAGCACCCACTCAATTTATTACATCCTAGGTTTGCCACTGCGATGGACAAATAATTAATGTCCATATGGTTTGAGGTGCAGGAAGCATCGCACTCGTACAGACGGCCTATCATTTCACCTAATGGCCAATACTTTCCGCTAGCTAAAATGTGTTGCAGTTTTATCGAGCCAACATTAAGCATGCATGCTTAACAAAGAAATATGACAAGCCTTATAGATAAGGGATACATGCAAGTTTGTCTTATTTTCTCCATATATATAAATGAATTTGAAAATGTGACTTTACACGTAGTTGTAATACTACTAAAATTATAGGTATAACTTTTTGTTAGAACTTTTATTGATATTTGTTAGTTGGTATGTACGTGTGTACACGAGAAAGTTTATGTATATATGATACATTATTCCGTATAGATAGTCTCAACATAACCATTTTTGTTGTACAAAAGCAATATAAAGATATTTACATTCATTGATTAACAAGGCACACAACATCATACATATGTACATCCTTATGTAGCATTGGGAAGTCTGAAATGGACATGAAAGGATACAACAGAACAATGAGCAAACTTGCTAACACTACAGTAGTAGTGCAGAGACATGCATATTTTATTCTTGCACTCCAAGTTAATTTGCTCCTAGCTAGTAGTAACTACTTCTCTTGTACTTCACATGTACCGATCTAATCAGGCGTGCGCGCTGCTAATTAACCATTCCCTGTTAAGATGAAGAAGAGAAAATAAGGAGAAGCTAGATTAGACAATTGGAAACTACTAGTATTAAGCACTGCATAGCATGGAATTTAGTAAGTATTCTGGTGTATATATATGCATGGTTTTTTCAGAAATTTCCGACAAAAAATAAGTTTGTAAATTTAGTTAGGCTAAGGAGTTACCGCTGCGTTACTTCTTTTTAAGCATGTGTTAGAGATAACTTTTACGGGTATATGTGAGGGTGAAGTTATTATATTTTCCGTGTAAAAGAAAAATATCTTTAGTTTGATTTATCGGATATAGATATTTCGGCTCCGAAAACTTGCAGTTGTCCCGGTCAATCCTCAAAGACACAAACAGGTCACTTTTCATCCATGAACAGTTTGTGTCAATGGATTGGTATGATAAAAAACTTGAGATATCGATCATTTGACGAAAAATTGGAGAAACCATACCAAAACACTGCGTGGTTCGCTGGACACGTCGAAGCCGGCGAGGAGGCTGTCCATCACGTCGTCGGAGCAGCACTCCAGCAGTATGAGCTCATCGCCTCGCTCGCCGGACGCCACCGTCGACGACGTCGTGCAAGCGGAGGCTCTGTCCGGCGCCGACGACGACGCCGGGCTGTTTCCACGGGCCACGCCGTCGTCGTCGTCGTCGTCGTCGAGCAGGAAGCAGAACGGCGCCTGCGATGGCGCCGGCAGCGGAGGCTCGTCGGGCGGGAAGTTGGTCCTTGCCTTGTGGCCGTGGATGCGGCGCGCCTCGGCGTCGTAGGCGCGCGCGGCCTCGACGGCGGTGTCGAAGGTGCCGAGCCAGACGCGGGCGCCCTTGACGGGGTCGCGGATCTCCGACGCCCACCGCCCCCACGGCCGCTGCCGGACGCCGCGGTACGGGTAGCTCCGCCTCACCCTTCGCCGCCGCCGCGGCCTCTCCACCACCGCCGCCGCCGGCGCCACCTCTGTGGTCGTCTCCATCGTCCCTGCACCAGAAGGGAACATGGAAACGCCGCCGTCGTCGTCGTCGTCGTCGCCAGCGATGAACTCCCGGAAGGCGGCCTCCCAGTCGTCGTCGCCGCCGCCACCACGCTTCTTCTTCTTCTTCATCTTCGTTGTGGCGTCCCACTCCGACGACTCCGACGGCGGCGGCGGCGGCTTGTCGCCATAGTCGTTCGGGATCAGTGCTCCTCCACACATCGTGATATTCTTATGATGTTTTTGTCTGATCTGATTCAAGTAGTTTGAGTTATCCTTGCAAGTTATTGAAGGTGTGTGTCTGAATATCTGATGGCGTGTGCTCTGAATATCTAGTTATTTATAGGTGTTCATATAGGTGGCTGGCCGGGTAAGGCATTTTTTAAAATATTTTATAAGGATAAATATGTTTTAAAAATAAACTCACTTTTTTTTTGACAAATTAGTTGGGTGGAACTAAGCTATAGGAGAGTTTAATTTTTTCCAAGCAAAAATCTCTTTCATGCAACTAAAATTGATGTTTAAATAATCTCTATAACGGTTAAAACAATAAAAAAAAGATATACATTCCCGCAGGTAATTCAAAAATTAATTACTGAGAATCTCTTTCATTCATTAGTTAGTTAGCTTATTACAATCTCTTTCATATCATACAAAAATCTCTTAGCTACTTATATACATTCCGGCAGGTAATCCAAGATATATATAAAGAACAAGGCATGTCCTCCGAAACGTCTAATGGGCGATCGATCGCCCGACCCATCGGGTAGCGATCAGATCCCCTCCCTCCTCTCTCCCTCCACTTGGTTTCCTTTTTTGGCACCGCATTACTTTCCTATTTTAGTAAATTTATGCACCTAAAGTTTATACACCTCAAGTTTACACATCTAAAGTTTAGAGACCCAAAGTTTATAAGTCAAAAGTTTATATATCCGATTCAAATTTGAACTTGAATTCAAATTTTTTTATATATAGTATTTCTATATATCTAAAGTTTATAGGCCCAAAGTTTATGAGTCAAAAGTTTACATACCCGTTTCAAATTTGAATTTGAATTATATCTGATTCAAATTTGAATTTGAATTCAAATATTTTCTATATATAGTATTTTTATGCATCTAAAGTTTATAAGGCAAAAGTTTACATACCCGATTCAAATTTAAATTTGAATTATATCTGATTCAAATTTGAATTTGAATTCAAATATTTTATATATAGAATATTTCTATACATCTAAAGTTTTTAAACCCAAAGTTTATAAGCCAAAAGTTTACATAGCCGATTCAAATTTTTTTATATATAGTATTTCTATACATAAATTTTTCTAACCTTTTGTTTTTTTTTAAAAAATATGTGGTGTACTGTAGTAGGAAGAGAAGAAGGGAAGGAGGAAGGGGGAGAAGAGGGAGGAGGGGAGGCGGGCGGATCTGATCGTTGGGCGATCGTCCTGGCGATCGATCGCCCATTAGGCCCCCCACCCCCCCACATCCTCTAGAGATCCATTATCCTACTATAATGGTTAAAACAATAAAACATAAAAAAAATCTAACTATTGATCCACTAAAATATTCTTTTTATTATCCTTACTTTCTTCCCCAACCATCGAGCAAACAATTTTTTTATTATTATGAGCTAAGAGGAATGCAATTTGATAAAGAAACATGTTACCTTGGACTTCAATTGTTGTTCTCTCTTATATCATCGTATTGAACTTTATGGTAGTTTATGGGTCAGCTACTTGGGGGACACATTTTCGAAGCTCATAGGTGCCGGATCTAAAGGGTTTATAGGTACCAGTTTTGGTGCCGGTACCAATAACCCCAACTCTGAACCGACAGCTATATGTGGCACTCTAGATGCCAGTTCCTATAAGGGTGCACTTTATTTTTTAATTTTGGTACGTACTATAAAAACCCTAAAAAAATATTTGGTATTTTTATTAGGGAGACCTATAAGGTCACACATCACTGCCCACATGTCACATTATTTTTCCAACCCATGCATAAATATGGATCAAGCAACATTCGAACTCAAGATCGCTCCCTCCATCCAAAACATTCTTTCCATCTCACCAACAAACACTTCTTGTCTTGAAAACAAATGCTATTCTTTTGAGATTAATATCATCCGAACTTATAAACCCCCCTCCCCCCCACACACACATGTATGTATATGTATAAGGCAACTCTATTATACACCCCCTATAGAATATACCTATTCTACAACCCTTCCTATCCAACCCACCGGGCCCACCTCGACATCCCACGCTCCTCTCTCGCCGTCCCACCAAGGGCTCACGCATCCCCTTCCCCTTCACGCACACGCCCTCCCCTTTGGTTTTCTACCATCCGGTGCCCTCCTCCTCTACTCTTGATCTCTCCATCCTGGTTTTTCTCTCCATCTCTGTTTTTTCTTTTCTTTCGGTTTTTCTTGCCTCCTTCTCTGTTTTTCCTTTTCCTTTTTTCTTCCCTCCATCTCTGTTTTTTCTTTTCCTTATGTTTTTCTTCTGACGGAGCGTGGGGCTCCTCACCGGGAGACCGCGCAGGCCCCCCTTTGCCGGTTCGGCCGGGGGCCCTGGGTGAGATTCTAAGCTCCTAGTCTGTGGAAAGTTCGCGAGAATGGAAAAAGCACAAGACACGGATGATGTATACAGGTTCGGGCCGCTGAGAAGCGTAATACCCTACTCCTGTGTTCTGGTGGATCTGTGTATGAAGAAGCTACAAAGAGCTGGAGAGCCAGAGAGCTCTTACTCTAAAAAACCCTCTTCTCCCTTTTTTCCTCTCGTGGGATCTTCTCTCCAGATCCTCCCCCCTTTCAGCCCCCTTTCAGCCCCCTTTCTTAAGTGGGCAAGGTCCTCCTTTTATATCTCAAGGGGATACCACATGCGCCACTTCTCCCTCTCTCTCTTTTTGGGTGGGGGCCCATCCTATCTATAGTAAAACTTGGCTTGCCTTCTCTTGGAAGCTGAAACACTGCCTGTTTTTGAGTGTGGCCACGCGTTCTCGTTCGTCTGACCTCGGGGATCACCCTGTCATCTCTTCATAAATGGGCGGAGATTTGCAACGGCTGCTGCCCGAGTGACCCTTCTGATGGGACGGCCCATACCTACCTCCACTCCGCCGGAAGCAGGTGCAACGTGGGAACACGGTTGTCTTCCGGCGACATAACCAGTGTCAGACCAGTCACAGACCGGTCACCTTTGTCCACCACGTGTCAGTTTAGCAATCTGCATGTTCGCCCTTCTTCATACAACGTCTTGCTTATAATGGTTGGGATAAAGCCTGGCATATATCTGACCAGGACCAACGTGCCATCTCCAGGAGCTAGCACGCTGGCTCCGGCTAGGGACGAGTGCCTAGAGACTCTCATCCTGACGGGACGGGGCGAGGCGTGTGTCAGATCGCCTGTTGCCACCTAACCCGCAATCTGACCGATGTATGACCGGTCACAGACCGGATAAACGAGCGTGCCATACTGCGCTACATGTGGCGTGACGCGCTCGTCCAAACCGCAATAAATGCGGTTAGGTGAGCCCCGCTATGCTCACCTACCCCATATACGCGGCGCAAAACCCACAAGGGGTCGGGGCGCCTCGGCCCTCGGGGCCGAGACGGGAGCGGTCCGACCCCTCGGGGAGACAAAGAGAAGGGCGGCCGTATCGCCCTCGGGCCTGACCCCCCCGAGGGGGTTAGGCCACGTGGGTGATCGTGTCTGCCTCAAGTCTCTAAGTCATGATACTCCCGGTCCCATGTCACCGACAGTAGCCCCCGGCGTTATGCCAGGGCGATCGCCCTCCTCGAGGGAAGCGGTCGGGCGTGACGCCACTTCCTAAGGCCTGGTGACAGGTGGGGCCGCTCTCTACAGTTGGAAAGAAAACCAATCGGTCGCAAATCACGCATATCGGCATTGGTAACTCGACTGTCAATAATGAGCGGTCTCTTCAAGACTGCCACATTACTCACAAAAATCGGGACAAGCCGGTTCGTTTTTCCTGGAGATATGGTGATGGCGCTTCGGTCGGCGAGCGTAATTAACGCGCGCTCGATATGTTCCATCTCGACTGCCACAGCCGCATATCCACCTCATGCACCGCAAACGGGCGAATGGGATTAGTGGAAGCGTGGGCGCGAGAAACGAGGGGGCGAGATAGTGGGCACGAGAAACGAGGAGCCGGGCACAGCGTTGGCAAGGGTATAAAGTCGCCGAGGAAGAGATTTGCTTCCTTCCTCTCGCCATTATTCCCCTTGTCTTCGCCGCTTGCGCCCTAACTCCTTGTTTCCTGTGCCCTACCTTCGCCACACGCGCTCGCTCTCAAACATCTCTTCTTCCGGCGTCATGGCACGGGGCTCCGCTCCGCTTGACGGTAGCGTGCTGCCGCCTTCCCGCATCGTGAGCGAGAGACAGGCCGGGCTGCCGCGCCGCTTCATGCCGGAATCTGCCACCGGCCGGGAGATAGTCTCGCTGGGCGAGGGACGCCCGGCGCCACGCTACCCGGGGCGGTCCATCTTCTTCCTCCCTTTTGCAATGGCAGGGCTGGTTCCGCCATTTTCTTCTTTCTTCATGGATGTTCTGGAGTTTTACGATCTCCAGATGGCGCACCTCACCCCCAACGCGGTAATGACATTGGCCATCTTCGCGCACCTATGCGAGATGTTCATCGGGGTGCGCCCATCCCTTCGGCTGTTCCGGTGGTTCTTCACCGTACAGCCGGTGTCGCCGCCGTCGGTGGTTGGTGGTTGCTACTTCCAGCCGTGGGGGCCGGTGCTGAACCGCTACATTCCCTGCGTCCTCCGCAAGAAGTGGGATGACTGGAAGAGCGACTGGTTCTACACCCCCTCGCCGACGAAGCGCGCCTCCGACTTCCGAGCCAGCCTCCAGCGCAGGCCTCCAACTGGCGGTCGCCGGTAGATCTGGGAGATGGCTACGACGCCGTCCTCGACCGCCTGGCGGGCCTGCGATCCCAGGGGCTCACAGGGGCCATGGTGTTCGGCGACTATCTTCGTCGCCGGATCGCGCCACTCCAGCGGCGCGCCCGGGGCGCCTGGGAGTACACCGGGTCCGAGGACTGTATGAGGACCCACCGGGGGGTCAAATGGGACTGGGTCCCTGAAGACTTCAAGGTAATGATCCAACGGGTGCTGAATCTCAGCTCCGCGGAGGCATCCCTCATCCCCCAAGGAGTCCTCCCCCTCTGCAGCGATCCAGATCGCGCCAACATCCTGACCATCATGATGGCGGTCGGGGCCTCGGAGGAGCGAGCTCCTAAGGGCCATGACGGTGCGAGCGGGAGCCGCAAGGGAGATCAATCTACCCCAGGAGGGGGTCGTGCTTCTGGGCCCCGTGATGGGGGCTCGGGGGGCAGCCGCCCTGCCGACGCCCGAGGGAAGAGGAAGCAAGAGGGTTTTTCCTCCCCATCTCCTCCCCGAGGGGGCGGGGTGGCGCGTGTCAGCAGCAGGCGCCCGGAGGGGGCCGCGCCGACGCCGCAGCCCGAGGGGGAGCGGAAGAAGAAACGGCTCCGCAAGATGGGGGGAACAGAACCATCCCGGGGAAACCTCATTTCCCCTCCAAGGTGGTCGTTTAACCGACCCCCTCGCAGGTTCGTCCCACGCCCATTGTGGCTGTATTCATTCTTCCAACACAAGTTTTCATTCACCCATCTTGTTTGTCTTCTGGCTTTTCTTCTGCTTCAGCGAGATCCCGTCGCGTCCTTCTTGCCAATCCAAGTCCGGCCAATCTGAGGCCGAGAATGCGGCGACCACGGAGGCTCGGAGGCGGGAATCTGACCGGCGAGAAGCCGCGGATCGC